TTCCTTCTGTCGAATGTAAACAAACACAGGGCTGCCACACTGCACAAAACCTGACCAGCCCCTGTAAACGCACCAGTGAAGGGGACTGTAAACCTGACGACCCCCTGTAAACGCACTAGTGAAGGACTGTACAGTAATCATCTCAACACACCCTGACAGTCGAGTGAAAAAATACCCCCAAAATCCCCCCCCCCTCCTCCTCTCCCCTGGCCCCATCACTTTTGAGGGTTCTCGCTGCACCCCCAGTCAAAAGGCGATAGTTTTGTTACTTTTGTGGGGTGTGTGCTGTGTTATGGGGGAGGAATGTGCTGGTGTTATGGGGGAGGAATGTGCTGTGTTATGGGGGTGCTGTGTGATGTGTTAGGGCTCTCGCAATACCAGCCAGTCCTGATCTGACTGATGAATGTATTTTTCGTCCATAAATATCATTCATCATGACAGCTTGTGATTGCTGATTGAAAAGTTCTATTTGAATAATGTGTATATGTTGTGTTCATTTAGATGTCTGTCTGTCTGTCTGTCCCTCCCACCCTCTCTATCCTTTCCTTCCCTCCCTTCCTTCCTGAGGAGAATCCCCGGGCCAGGGCGTTCCATCAATTAGGTTAGAAAACATCAATTAGTTTGTCTGTCTGTCTTGTCTATCCTTGTGTATGTGTGGGGGGGGTGCAGAGGTAGATGAAAGAGAGGGGATAAGGTGGTGAATATGAAAGATGGGAAGGGGTAGGAAGGAAGAATAAGCGAGAGAGTAAAAGAAAGAAAGAGAGAGAGAGAGAGAGGTGTAGTTCTAGTGTAAAACAAGGCAGGTAGTGGCAGGAGCAGACACCAAGGGAGAGAGTGTCACCAGGTAGGTACGTGGCAGCGATGGACAAGATAACACGACACCTACACGACATTTCACGCCCTCCCTACCTCCCTCTCCTCTCTCCCTACCTCCGTCCCTCTCTCCCTCTCTCCCTCCCTCCCTCCCTGGTTTCCCTTCTCCCTTCCTTCTTTTTGTCCCTTCCTGTCATCTCGGTTTACTATTTCTCCCTCCTCACAGTCCTCCTTCCCTCCTTCCCTCCTTCCCTCTGTGTCTCTATCCCGTTCAGCCCTTTACCTCCTTCTATATATTCTCCCTCCTTCTCTTCCTTGCATCCTCTTGTTCCCTCCTCTCTCCCCTCCCTCCTCTCTTCCTCCATCTCCCCACTCCCTCCTCTCTTCCTCCCTCTCTCTCCCCTCCTACATCTCCCCTTCCCTCCTCTCTCTCCCTCCCTCTCTCCCCCTCCATCTCCCCACTCCCCCACCTCTCCCACCTCCTCCTCTCTCCTCCCATCTCCCCACTCTCCCTCACCCCTAAGATTGGTTGGTGTCTTGGGATCTTCTGATTAAACATGTTTGATAATTACCTGGGCACGTCATGTTAGTGGGTCAGGTAAAGTGGGCCTCATTTTGTTTATTGGTTTACAATGTGCACCTGTTGTCCGTGATTCTCCTTCCCTCCCCTCTCTTTACCTCCTCCTCTCTTCCCCTCTCTTCCCCCCCTCTCTTCCCCTCCCTTCTCTTCCCCCTCCCCTCCCAAACCTTGACCACAAACCAACCACACTAACCCTTTGTTGCCTTCCTGGTATATGAGAGCCTTAGTGGTGAGGAATGACTGGTGAGGAATGACTGGTGAGGAATGACTGGTGAGGAATGACTGGTGAGGAGGAGAAAAGGAAGAAGAGGTCGATGAGGTGGAGGAAGAAGAGGAAAGAGAAGGAGAAGAAGGAAGATGAAGTAGGAGGAGGAAAGAGAAGGAGGATAAATAAAGAGAAGGAGGGGAAGGAATGAGGAAGAGCAGGAGGAGGAGGAGGAGGAGATGACATGGCTCCACGGGCGGGAGGTACACGGTGTTCTGACCGCCATGGGAAGTTTTACAGCACTTACCTGTTGTTACCTGATGACGCCACACAGGTAAACACGCCTACACATCCCCTCAGGCACACATGTACACACGCACGTCCTAAAGCACACATAAATATATACACACACGCACGTCCTAAAGCACACATAAATATATACACACGCACACACTCGTCCTAATGCTCACATGTATACGTACACGCCCTCATGAATACACACACACACACACACACGCGCGTCTCATTACACCCTAGAAATTTAAGAAATGGAGAAAGAGTTAAATAGTAGTTTGCTAGCTGACCACCTTGCTAGTGTCTACCTGAGCTAGTGATGTGGGTAAACGTATGCATTGGGTAAATAACTATAGGTCGCTTAGGTAGAGCTGTTAGGTTGGCAGCCCACACTAGGGATATACTGAATACTAGGTAGCCGGCCCTCTCCTATTGTATATATGCTGAGGCTATTATTCCCTATTCCGTAGACACTATTAGTAGATTCTGGTACAGGGAGGTTACCTAGTACCTGGTGGTAATATAAGTGATGGCTGTAGACTCCTTGTATTATGTAGATGATATATATGGTAGGAGAGAGAATTCAACCTTGGTGAATTCCTCTCGTGAATAATTTCTACTATCTCAAAAGTTACACAGGAATTTTGGTTTACGTTGGGAGTCATTTGCTGTGACACGATGATGTGATTATTTTATCTCGAAGGTCAAACTACCATAGGAACTTGTGAAAATCTGTGGATAGGAATTACACGACTAACTGTGCCCTTGGAGATTATAGTCAAGTGTCATGCAGAGCTATCACCTCCTTACTACCCAGAAGGTCATGAGATATTGGTCTTCTCCTTCTTCCCCTTCTTCTTCTTCTTCTTCTTCCTCTTCCTCCCATAGGCGGAAGAACAAGCGGTAAGACACAAGCCACCACCACACCTCCAGGGTCGCCGCTACACTTTACTATATTTGAGGAATGAAAGTTAATACGCTGGTAATATTATTCATAGCCGTGGCCGCGGTGAAGCGAGGACCTCAGCTCTACATTTGGAAGTGTAGAGAAAACCTGTGTTTATATTTAAGCTAGTCCTGTTAAACATTAGGTAAATCAAATTCTATTATTGGTTACCAGAGAGACGGTGAGGGGGTGAAGGGTGAGAGGTGGGTGAGGGGTAAGGGGTGAATGGGAGGTAGTTAAGGGGTAATAGATTAATCCAGTATCCTTCATTAAATACAAGTTGGATTAGGTTATATTATTATGGTTGTGAATATTTATATTGTTTGGTTGTATTTGTTGTAGTGTATGTTATGGTGAGGGAGTTAGGTTGTGAACGTTATATTCTGGAAAATGGTGAAAATGAGGGAAAAAGCTCTGTGTGTGTGTGTGTGTGTCTGTGTGTGTGAGTGTTTACATATGAATGGGCGACTGAGTTGTGGAAGAGTATACAGATGGTGGTGGCACGTGGGAGGCTGCCACCACCCTCACTCCCACCCTCACCCTCCCTACCACCACCCACCACACCCTCACACCTCTCCAATGCTACGACCTCCAAGACGCCCCCCCCCCACACCACCCCCCCAACCTAGCCTTCCCCCTTTCCTCCATCGTCGTTGTCTTCTTAATTTAATCAGCTGCCAGGGTACATCACCTATCCCAACCGCTGATGAACTATTGGCAGGAAGGTGCTTACGGTTTGGTCACCCCGGGCAGGTATATGCAGATGAGATGATTCATTAATAACTAGAACTAACCTTGTGGTGTGATAGGTCCATGTTGGTCCCTAACCTAACCTACCCTACCCTAACCTAACCACCCTAACTTAACCTAACCTACCCTACCCTAACCTAACCTAACCTCCAACACCTCTCTACAACCTACTACCTGCCTAACACAACACAACACAACACACTACCTACCTAACCTGCCCTACCCTACCCTACCCTACCCTACCCTAACCTACCCTAACCTACCCTACCCTACCCTAACCTAACCTAAATGACCCAATTCAAGAAATCAATTGGGGATAAAAATATTTAAGATATAGATTAAACTTGCCCTTAAAATTAACTCATATTGGGAATAAAATATAATACGATACTGTTAATAATCTAACACTCTTGAAGCCACAGGTAACAACAACAACAACAAAAAGGTTAATTAATACTGAAACAAAACCAATTAAAACTTGTGGTGATATTTGCCTTAAAAAAGTAACTTAATCAATGAAATCAAGGAGAAAGTGTGTGTGTGTGTGTGTGTGTGTGTGTGTGTGTGTGTGTGTGTGTGTGTGTGTGTGTGTGTGTGTTGTGCCGTTATATTTATCAAGGCCACGAGAAGCTTACCTCTCTCTCTCTCTCTCTCTCTCTCTCTCTCTCTCTCTCTCTCGCTCTCTCTCAATAACTTAATTAACTAATGTATTAATCCCTACTCTTAAATGATGGTGTTCTGTCCACACTAATTGATAGGGAGTGGACGGGTGGTGGGTGACGGGTGATGGGTGGTGGGTGACAGGTGAAGGGGGATGGGTGACAGGTGAAGGTTGGGTGGATGGTCGGTGACAGGTGACGGGTAGTGGGTGATGGGGTGACGGCTGTAAACAAGTAAATAGACGGGAGGTGGAGCAGTAATGTGGAATAATAATGGAGTTTCCACCACTGTCCGCTACTGTCACTCACTCCTGTCACGTACTGTCGACACTCACGTCCTCAGGGGTTAGTGGGCGAGTGTGGGGGGGCTGTGGGAGACTGTGAGAAGGGGTGTGGGGAGAGTGTGGGGGATGTGGGGAGACTGTGAGGGGGTGTGGGGACTGTGTGGGGTGTGGGAGAGAGTGTGGGGGGGGCTGTGGGAGACTGTGAGGGGTGTGGGAGAGTGTGGGGAGCTGTGGGAGGGTGGGTGGGGGTGGTTGTGGGAGATGGGAGGGACTGTTGGAGAAAGGAGTGGAGGGAAGGTGTGTTGGAGATAGTAAGGATGAGATTATCTGGCTGTGTTGGAGGGGGTGGACCTTCTTAACACACACACACACACACACACACACACACACACACACACACACACAATAAACTGAAACACGATAGTAATTAGAAACAGAACCCCCAAAAAACTAATATTAATTCATTGTCTCAGATGTGTCGAGAACATTCAGCATTGACCTCAAGTTCTTCAGTCAATGACACGTTTAAGGTCTTGTGTTCCTAAAAAAAAAAAGTTGTTTCATTTCATTGACAATAATAAGCAATTCTGTTTTATATCTAGTTGTGCTATCAAGGTGTTTCCTGAGTGACTGATTAACTGATTGACTGGGACTCATAAAGACTGGAACCCATTAGAACTGGGACCCATTAGGACTGGGACTCATTAGAACTGGGGCCCATTAGGACTGGAACCCATTAAGATTGGGACCCATTAGGACTGGGACCCATTAGAACTGGGGCCCCATTAAAACTGAGTCAATGCTAATGGTTAAGGGGCCTATTTGGCTAAGGGGCCTATTTGGTTAAGGGGTCGACCTCACTAGTGGTCGCCTACAGGCCACTAATGCCCCCGGGAGTGTCGTGATGACTACTTTCTCCTGCGTTAACGTCTCCCCCAGCAGGCAGTGAATGGAGGCACCTAGCTCACTCATCACACGAGGTCCCATAACCTAACCTAACCTCCCAACATACACACTATCACACAACCACACCCTTCTACCACACACACATAACCACATCCTCCCACATACAACACACCCTTCACACACACACACACCCTCCCCACACACACACACACACACACACAACCATACTCTCCACCAGACACAACCCCACACAACCACACCCTCCTACACACACAACCACACCCTCCCACACACCCTGACGCACTCTCCTCCACATACCCCTCCCCCCCCAACACACCTTATCTCCTCTTCTCAATTTACATTCCTCGTCCATGTACTGATCAAATGAAACAACATGTTGATCACAAGAGGTTACGTTGGCGTGCAATTGACATCCACTTACCCGGGCAGCGAGAGAGACGAAATGACATACGCCATCATTACATTCTGGGGTCAAGTTGTTCTCAGTGCGTTTTGGTCACCTTGAGATAGAGAACAGATGACCCCCATATGCTGGTAAATCTGTTTTGTAGAGACGATTGGTGTAGTGATGGAAGTATGATAAATTGGGTGTATAGTGATGAAGGTATGATAAGAGGAGAGGAAAGGGAGAGTACGAGAGGAAGAGGTTAAGAGAAGAGAAGAAATCTAATTGGTTTGAAAGTCTTAACTTTCCTACAGGTGAGAGAAAGGTAGAAACGATTATAGTAACTGTAATAATAGTAATAATAACAATGGTGGCAACAACAGCAACGACAATTATACTACTACTACTACTACTACTACTACTACTGCTGCTAATACTAATAATAACAACAATAACAACAACAACAGCAATAACAACAACAAAAACAACAACAACAACAACAATAATAATAATAATAATAATAATAATAATAATAACAATAATAAACACAATCATAATAAAGATTTTTCTACACTCTTAACAGCCAAACTCTCCGTCACAAGTAACTTCCGTTCAGCAATAACACTTTAGAATAGCTTTTTATATGGAGTTAATAGACCACAGGATTCGTTTATAAGTCGGCACGTCGCAAAAAGGTTAATAACACGTAACATGGAGGGGAGAGAATCACGAGACAATTATCAAGTGGAAGGAGTCGGAGTTGTCACGAGAAATCAAACGACCCCAGGATGAAATGACGTCTCTGAGAGGGTGGTGAAGAGGGGGATTGGGAGAGGAGGAGAGGAGAGGGTGGTAAAGAGGAGGAGGTCAGGAGAGGAGGAGAGGAAAGAGAGAGGAGGAGAGGAGGGTGGTGAAGAGAGGGTGGTGAAGAGGAGGTACTGAGAAGCCCAGTAGGAAGGCGTGCGGACCAGCAGGTAGGCGTGGGGACCAGTAGGGTAGGCGTGGGGACCAGTAGGAAGGCGTGGGGACCAGTAGGAAGGCGTGGGGACCAGCAGGTAGGCGTGGGGACCAGCAGGAAGCGTGGGGACCAGGAAGGCGTGGGGACCAGCAGGTAGGCGGGACCAGCAGGAAGGCGTGGGGACCAGTAGGAGGCGTGGGGACCAGTAGGGAAGGCGTGGGGACCGTGGGGACCAGCAGGTAGGCGTGCGGACCAGCAGGTAGGCGTGGGGACCAGCAGGAAGGCGTGCGGACCAGTAGGAAGGCGTGGGGACCAGGAAGGCGGGGACCAGTGGGTGGGGACCAGTAGGAAGGCGGGGACCAGTAGGAAGGCGTGGGGACCAGTAGGAGGCGTGGGGACCAGTGGGACCAGCAGGCGTGGGGACCAGCAGGTAGGCGTGGGGACCAGCAGGAAGGCGTGGGGACCAGTAGGAAGGCGTGCGGACCAGTGGGAAGGCGTGCGGACCAGCAGGAGGCGTGGGGACCAGTAGGAAGGCGTAGGAAGGCGTGGGGACCAGTAGGAAGGCGGGGACCAGTAGGTAGGCGTGGGGACCAGTAGGGAAGGCGTGGGGACCAGTAGGAAGGCGTGGGGACCAGTAGGAAGGCGTGGGGACCAGCAGGTAGGCGTGGGGACCAGCAGGTAGGCGTGGGGACCAGCAGGCGTGGGGGCAGGCGTGGGACCAGCAGGTAGCCAGGTGGGGAAGGCGTGGGGACCAGTGGGGAGGCGTGGGGACCAGTAGGGAAGGCGTGGGGACCAGTAGGTAGGCGTGGGGGCAGGCGTGGGGACCAGCAGGTAGGCGTGGGGACCAGTGGGGACCAGCAGGTAGGCGTGGGGACCAGCAGGCGGGGACCAGTAGGAAGGCGTGGGACCAGTAGGGAAGGCGTGGGGACCAGCAGGTAGGCGTGGGGACCCAGGGTAGGCGTGGGGACCCAGCAGGTAGGCGTGGGGGGGCCGTGGGGACCAGCAGGTAGGCGTGGGGACCAGCAGGTAGGCGTGGGGACCAGCAGGAGGCGGGAGCAGGTGGGCGTGGGGACCAGCAGGTAGGCGTAGGCGTGGGGACCAGCAGGTAGGCGTGGGGACCAGCAGGTAGCAGGTGGGCGTGGGGACCAGCAGGTAGGCGTGGGGACCAGCAGGAAGACCAGTTGGTAGGTAGGCGTGGGGACCAGGTAGGCGGGGGACCAGCAGGGCGTGGGGACCAGCAGGTAGGCGTGGGGACCAGCAGGTAGGCGTGGGTGGGGACCCAGCAGGAGGCGTGGGGACCAGTGGGGACCAGTAGGGAAGGCGTGGGGACCAGTAGGGGCGTGGGGACCAGCAGGTAGGCGTGGGGACCAGCAGGCGTGGGGACCAGCAGGAAGGCGTGTGGGGACCAGGAAGGCGTGGGGACCAGCAGGCGTGGGGACCAGCAGGAAGGCGTGGGGACCAGTAGGAAGGCGTGGGAAGGGCGGGGACCAGTAGGTAGGCGGGACCAGCAGGTAGGCGGGGACCAGCAGGTAGGCGTGGGGACCAGCAGGTAGGCGTGGGGACCCAGCAGGTAGGCGGGCAGGTGGCGGGCAGGTAGGCAGCAGGTAGGCGTGGGGACCAGAGGGAAGGCGTGGGGACCAGCAGGAAGGCGTGGGGACCAGCAGGAAGGCGTGGGGAGCCCCGCGGCTGGGTATTGCGTGAGGTAAACATTGGATGGAAGGAGGAGAGGGTAGGCGACCGTCATGCACTGATCAATATACAGATAAGACTACTGACATCCCTACTCCCTTCCTACTCCCCCTACTCCCTTCCTCTACTCCCCTTCCTCTACCTCCCTTCCCTACCACCTCTTCCCTACTTTCAAACTCTATGTTCCCCACCGCCAACCTCCCTCCTACCTCCCACCTCTAATCTTCCTACTACCTCCCTTCCCCCTCACTACCCCCCACCTCTTCCTTTCCTTACACCCCCTTACCTCCTCTTCCCCCTACTTACACCCTACCCCCTTACCTCTCCCTATCTTCTTTCCAATATGCCCAGTGTATGAACACCATGTATTCAGCGAGGTTTACAAAATGGTGATAGACTAAATTAACCTACAAAAAGGCTTCTGTTTATATGGGATTGAAATATTTCTCTGTCTCTTTTATCTCGTAGACAGAATAATGAGATGGACGGAATTTCTAGCCGTTCAGAAGGGAAAATCATTACATATGTATGTGTGTGTGTGTGTGTGTGTGTGTGTGTGTGTGTGTGTGTGTGTGTGTGTGTGTTGCGTGCATGATGGCAGCTACCCAATAATCAGCAAACCCGAGAATGGTACCATCACTCTCCTGACGGCCAAGGTTGGGGTAGTGGGATGGATGGATGGAGGGAGGGAGGGAGGTAGGTAAGCGTGTCTCGTACCAAGAATCATATACCAACCATCAACTGGGAGATCTTCACCCAACGGCATTCAGACAGGTTGGTAAGGGCGTGGGAAGGTGGGTTAAGTTAGGTTTGGTTTGGTGTCGTTCTTAAAGGTCTTATTGTAACAGATCTTAAGGAATTTAGTGTTGCGTGAAAGAAGGAGGAGTGAAGCCGTCATGAGACAGGTGTGAGATAGACAACAAAAGCTCGTGTAGGTCAGGTGTGTGTGTGTGTGTGTATGTGTGTGTGTGTGTGTTCTCTGTTCCTAGGTTTAAGAGATGAGATGTGTAATGATTTAACTGAGAGATCTGCGTTAAGATGACCTCAGAGATACACATTAACTGTACATAAACATTAAATATAAACAAGTATAGACATTACCTCCCCCAGCCACTGCCTCCTTATGTTATCTAATACTTCTTCTCTATAAACATTTACTTGAATCTAGCTTGAAAAATTTCCTTAGGGGAAAATGAACATTATAGCTAGGTCACCCTAACTCGAGTACATACACCGTCTTGTTCCTGTCTATGCCAACACTGGCGATCAGCTGTAAATCCGCCTAGACCAGCGATCACTTGATGGTGACGTCACGGCCAGCGATTAACCTGGAGCCCACCCGGTGTGACGGCCATTATGTGTGAGCGTCATGCCTTAACCCAGTGTGGTGAGTGACCCTGTTGGGGGTACCTCAGGGGCCCCGTGGGAGGTACCTCAGGGGCCCCGTGGGAGGTACCTCAGGGGACCCGTGGGAGTTGCCTCAGGGGCCCGTGGAAGGTTCCTCAGGGGCCCCATGGGAGGTACAGTTGGGGACTTTTCCGACTGGTACACTCAGCGTTGTCAGTCCACCCTCTCCGTGAGGTGTGAACCCCGAGAGTCTTGACTCGTGAATCCCAAACCTCTGAGTTACTCGGCGAGACGTGAGGTACACGGCAGCCTGGGACCATAAAGCTATTAACTCATTACCTGGTCCGGCAACCTTGATGCTTTATGTTTACATAATGATCTCATAGATTAATTGATGGAGTCTGGAGGCTTTTATGTTATATAGATAAGTAGTGGGCCGTGGCCAGGGTCAATCACTGATAGTTTCTTTCGCAGCCAATGGGAGTTCACCTCCAAGATCCTGCTGCCAATGGGAGTGCAGCTACAAGATCAAGCAGACAATGAGAACTGCACTCTGGCATCCAGCAACCAAGGAGAGTGCTGTTCTGAAATCTAGCAGTCAATGAGAGCGCTGCTCCGAGATCTAAAGGCCAATGAACGTGTATCTCCGAGATCCAGCAGCTAATGGGAGACAACTCCCAGTTGCAACAGTCAGTGAGAGTGTTGCTCCCAGAACCAGTAGCCAATGAGTACGCAGCTCCGAAATCGCATTGGCTGCTGGATATTGGAGCTGCACTTTCATTGGTTGCTTTATCTCAGAGCTGTGCTCTCATTTGCTGCTGGATCTCGAAGTTATGCTCCAATTGGCTGCTGGATTTTAGAGGTGCACGTTCATTAACTGCTGGATCTTGAACCTGCACTCTCATTGGCAACTGGATCTGGGAGCTGTGCTCCCATTGGATGCTGGTTCTCGATTTTGCGCTTTCATTGGCTGATAAATTTTGGAACTGTGTGTTCATTGGTTGTTGGATATCTGATCTGCAATCCCATTGGTTGCTGGATCTTGGATCTGCTTTACCATTGGCTGATGGATCTCGATGCTGCACTCACATTGGTTGCTGCATCTTGGATCTGCACACTCTCTCTCTCTCTCTCTCTCTCTCTCTCTCTCTCTCTCTCTCAATTTAAGAGCTAAACAAAATTCCTCTACCCCCAGAAACCCCACAAGTGTTATGAGTTACAAAAACAGCAGAGGCACTCCGTCCTCCCCTTGAGGCAGCACGACTGGCGAGGGACCTTGTTTACACCCTCGTCCCATCGCGGTTATATGCCTTTGCCTCCCCCAAGCCGCCTCCACAGGGGTGCTCTGACCCCCCTCTGTGTCCCCACGCTGGATTGGCCCGTTAATCTGGCTATTATAGGTCACAGGAGAGCACCGCTTGGGGGTCGTTCCGCGTGGAGTGTGCAATACCTATCTCTCTTTTTTCTCGTGTGTGTGTCTCCCAGGTTAGATTGCTTTACTGTCCTGCTGCGCCCAGACATACGCCGCCCTGGTGTTACCTGAGCTAATTACTTGGTCCGTCTGTGTTTAGTTAGTGAGGTAGTCGTCGGCTGGTGTCTTGGGGTGTAGTTGGTGATTCAGTCTTGTTCTGTAGTTTTCGGTAGTTAATAAAATATGGAGAGGTAAGTTAATCAGTCCTACAGGTGTGTTTCTTAGTTAATGATGAAGTCTTGTTGGTTAGTTATTTAATTTCTGTAAAGGCAAGTATGATATTATTCCTTTTTTTTTAATTTACCATTTCATTATTTTTTTTTTTTACATTTATGTCTTTAGATTACAGACAGAAACACTCATCATCACAATAGTCCACAACAACACCGCTGCTGGATATAATTTAAGACTCATTTTGGCTTTTGTAACTTTCCCTCAACGATCGCAGTTAACCAGTTTGTCAATCAAGGACTTCATTCAATTAATCGCTTCCCGGAGACCCACCCAATTATGCAGTCAAATCACAAATACGAATCAGTTATCTCTTGTTTTCTCCAAATTTGCCACAGCGAAATGAGCGGCTCTCCCAGGCAGCCACCATCACCCTAGTAATAATTGAGATGGTCGACTGAGAATCCGACTAACACGAACGCAATTACAGAAACGCTGATTAATTAATTTCACAACGTATTAAGCAAATGGAGCGTGATAATGAGTAATTGAGACGAATTATCCCTCGAGCTGAAACAAAGAATTTAGATGAATCTTTGGAGGGAATTATATTAGGATTTTTTTTTTTGGAGGAGAAGCAATAATTTGAGGAAAAACATTACGTGTTTTTATGTAAAGTTGTTGTCTGTTTATATAATGTAAAGGTGTCATGATTTTGGGATCACATGAAGATTAACCCCCCCAGCTTATTTCACCTGATGATTAAACACCTTAATGCTGCATCTTATATTGAGGATCACTAGTTATTATATTTAAGATCACTAACTTTGTACACTCAGATTCACTACTTCTACAACATTGCCACAACATATAACACACCATTCACTGTACTAGGTGTAAGTGTAAGCGACTGTACATTCAACGTTCCTCAATACACATTTACCATTATCATCAGAACCACCAACTGTATTAGCAAACCATCTGTAGGTAATTTATTTTAGTATCATTTGATCACAGCTGGTTGTGGTGCGTCGTCCAATCATTGTTTTTTTTTTTCTTGGAGGGAAATTCCAACGTAATTTGCATACTGGAGTGACAAGTGTTTTTCCCGGTACAACTAATACTTTGAATATTGTTAGAATTATTTTTTTTTTAACCAGGGTTTATACGTAAAATTAGAGCCAACATAACTTAATATACAGTAGTATTGCATAACATAACACAACGTAACACAAAACAACAACACCACAACACAACACAACACTTTAATTGTGTTGTGTTGTGGTTCTATGATACACTTTATAATGCTCTAGTCAGCCTTGAGCACTATCACAACATGGTATAAAGCTCAAAGTCTCCTGAGGGGCTGGATGATTAGGGGACGGGGGGTGGAATGAGAAGGAGTGAGGAGTGGGGGGCGTGGTGAGGGGGGGGGGGGGGGTGAGGGTAGGGATTCATAGCTATAAGGGCAGCATCATTTCACGTCTAAGGCCATCTTACCGGCAGGGATGACCCGAGTTATTAATTAACCTGTGTCTGTATCACCTGGTGGGCACCGCTCCTACCCCCACACCCCGATTATTTTATGGCTGCTGTGCCTCTTCCTTTCTTTCTTATTCTTCCACCTTCTTTTGTTCTTTTTCTTTTTCCTATTCTCCTCTCCTCTTCTTCCTCCTTCTGTCCTCTCTTCTTCTTCCTCATTCTCGGAGGAAGAAGAGGAGGGAAGCAGGGAGGAAAAGGAAGGGGAAAGTAGGAGGAAGAGGGATGTAGGAGAAGGAGGATGGAAACAGGAGGAGGAGAAGGAGGAAGGGGGTAGCAGAAGGGAAGGTAGGAATCCAGGACCAGTTTACCTGAGGGCTCACCTGGGCCACCCAACTCCTCGGCTAATTAATACACCTATGTTAGTTAATTTTCACTATTACATTAAGAAATTGTTGGGTATAGATACTGTACTCTGGCGTGGCGGTGGTCCTCTCTCTCTCTCTCTCTCTCTCTCTCTCTCTCTCTCCAAAACTTCTTCCTTTCCTGCTAT